CATAAATATACCTAAAAAGTAAAAAATTTGTGAAAAAAACCTTTTAAAAATTCACTAAATACCAAAAAATTTAGTTTTCAAAAAACTTAATCCAATAAACTCAAACCAAACACACTGATTAATTTTTTTTTCATAATTTCAGACTTTTAAAAGGAAAGAATACTAATTCAATTTTAAAATTATAAAATTGTGAATCACCAATTATGTGAAATAATATATTTTATAAATCTTCTCTTTTGTGCGCATTGGAGTCGAGTCAATTTCTAATATTTAGTCCTCTAAATTTTTATTTTTATTATGCATTTAACAATTATGTTAATTTTTAAAATTTATTGCATGTTTATTTAATTTAAGTGCATTTTTATAGAATAAATTATCAATCTCTTTGATCATAGGTGTGACAGTGATAAAAACAGCTAAATTGGCAAGTCTGCATTATTAGGACCTTGTCTTTTGTCCCGCTCTTTCTTTCTCTTTACTTATTTTTCAAAATATTTTGACATATTCTTTGCCCCAAAAACAAAATGAAAAAAATGGAAACTTTAAAATAAAAAATTAGAGAATATATCTGTATATTTTGTTAAGCATTCAAACAAGTTCGAAACATTTTATTAACTTAATTTGAGTAGATAGATAATTTCCTAATTGAAAAAAAAAACATTAAGAGAATGCATAAAAATTGAAATTTTTCTTATCGTTATAGGTCAAAATTACATAATGAAAAAATTAAAAATAATTGTGATCATTATTCAAAGAACTTAACTTATTTCAAATATAATCAAGTAAATCCTCTAATAGAAGTTAATATGTAATATAATTTATTTATTGAAGAATTATTTTATGTTTTTAGTTACGTATTTTTTTAATTTTTTTTAACTATTAAACAATTATTTTTACTATATCCAGGGGTACCAATGAAGAATTAGCAAAGCATTCAACAAAAGCAAGACTTATTTTCATTATCATTGTCTTCAACCATACAAAGAAGAAATCACCAAGCATTGTTCGGAACGAATTCGCCTAAAAAGGAAACTCAAATGATGAATATCGCTATAACAAGTAAAGACACCACAATAATTCCAGTTGGGGGAGGATTTAGTAAGAAAAAAGGTATTAACGAAATTGGCAGCACCATAAGATAGTTTGGAAACATTGATTCATGATTGGCGATGAGTTCCTAGAGCCGATTCTTCCTAGTGATCAAGAGGTTCCTGATTACTCATGCCAATCCACTTGTCATTTTATCTTGTTCAAGTCTGTCATTATAAATATAAGATCTTATTCAAGTTTGTCATTATGAACATAAGATCTTGTTTAATTCTGTTATTATGAATATAAGATTTGAACAAGATGAAATGACAAGTAGATTGACATGAGAATCAAGAACCACTTGTTCACTAGGAAGAATCGGCTCTAGAAATTCATCGTCAATCATGAATCAATATATCAATAGAAGTTAACGATCACCAACCATGAATCAATGTATCAATAGAAATAAATGATTAAAAGAGTGTCAAGAATTCTTAAATCCCAAGGATAGGTGGCTGTTTATTGGGTTTTTTACGATAAGGTAGACGTTTCTTAATTTATTTATTTTTTTTAAAAAAAAGAGTAGTTTATGAATCTAAGATTATATATATTTTGGGGTTGAAGATGTCAATTTTTTAAATATTCAAATTTATATATGAGTTAATAGAATCTATATCTATACTATGGACATAATAATATTTTGTTTTTATTCTTATTTTCATTTATCTCTTTCATTATTCCTATTATTATTTTTAAAATTACACATTTGTTTGATTTTGATTTATAAAATTCACTTTCAAAAAATTTTATTTTTTGTTTTCCATATTTTTTTTTATTTTCATCAATTTTTTTAATATTTTAAGTATTTTTTTAATTTTTAAATACACTTAACATACCTATACTTAAAGAGTATAATATTTGTAATTTTTTAAAAAAATATAAAATAAAAATTAGCAAAATTGCTTAAATCAACCACACAAATAAGAAATCACTAAACGAATTTATTTATTTTTAAACTCATATATTAAATTTCTTGATTAATTTTTAGTTGTTATTTAAAATTTTAAAAAAATTCTATTAAGTAATACTTTTTCAACAATAAAAATATGACTATTTATGGATTTATGAAATTTAAGTGGAAAGTATATTAACCTATTTTAAAATTCAAAAGTGTGTCATCTAGCCATTAAAAAAAACAATTCTTAATTTCAGACTTTTAAAAAGAAAGAATACTAAGCTCAACAACATTATGTTCATCTTCTACATCAATTTAAAAATAAAATCACAAAATAGTAAATAAATCATTTAAAATAAATGATCACATAACAGCTAGGACAGAATCAGTTCATCTTCTAAGCTCAACAACATTATGTTCTTGTGTGCAGAGAAGACATATCTTCTGAGCCGGAAAGAAAATTCTATACTTTGTGTTCAATTAAATTAAGAGAGAGAAACCATATTTGAACAATTAACAACAATACACTTGCTTCTTTGTTCCGTAAGCATTGAAAATAATACAACTGAATTACCTCCCTTGTAATAAGTATTATTTGCAAGAAAACAAGATGGTGCATGGAAAAATACCAAAATGTGAAGAAGTGTTTACAATCGCAGCATATGACAGCAACAACTTAGGGGATGAAACAAGTTTTAAGAAAAATTATTGCACCATTTTCACATCCAACCACATCAAAAGGTAACATCTATCAGAATAATTATCATACCTAAAAGGGTTGCTAGAATTTACCACCAAGCACGTACATAAGTTTCACTATGCCCATAAAAAACGTAAATGTTTTGTTTGTTCATGGAACCAATTTACCATATATGAACTCATCCACCATTCACCACACATAATTGACAAATTTGCATGAAAAAAATAAAAATAAATATGATTTAACAAGAAATTATTTGACAATAGTGATCAAGGTATTATTGAATTAAACTCAGCTCGAGTGGAATCATCAAAACCTCCTGAAGTTATTAACCAACCTAATGGTAACCTGGCGGTAAGCTGCAAATAGTCTGAAATACAGTGGGGCACCCTTCGACAGGAGTCATCGGATAATGGGCAGACCACTTTTACCAGAAAAAAGTTAACTTCCCATCAATTAAAATCAAACAAATAACAATCAATTGAACTAAGAATTATAACAAAGTAATGAACAATACAGTGCAGCTAGCAAATAAAACATCAAAATCACACATGAGCATTTGAGTCTCACCCTATAAAAGAGCCACAGAGAAAAACACTTCCTCCCCCATAAGGCCACACAAACTGCGTCATGATTAGTGCCGTGCATGCAGCAGTTTCACCACTTTCCTTTGCATAATCCATGCCCGAATAGAACATTCACTCCCAAAATAATTGGAAACCCTCCACGCAACAAACAAATTTCCTATTAACCCTAAAAGGATAAATAAAAATCAAATAATTATTTTACAACCCAGTACACCATTGAAGCACATTCAATTTCCATAAATAAAAAATTAAAATAAACCTAGTACTTCAAAGTCGAATCTTCGAATTCTACCACCAAAAACCTTAACTTTCCAATGAACAATGCGTCACGGAGTACACAATTAAAGACGTGATTTTAATGAAGCAAATACACGTATGATTCAGAAAAAATAATAATTTTAAAAAAAAATTGGTCAAGTTTGAACAGGCCCGGCCCTGAGGACAGGCCAAAGAGGCCTGCGCCTTGGGCCCCTAGATTTGGGCTAAAAATAGGGCCCCAAAATATGATTTTGTGTTTTAGATATAAAAAAAAAATCCAAATCCTATAAGCCCAATTGTATGTGGGGCCTAAAAAAAAAACATCATGATAGATTAGAGGCCCAACTGACATGGGCCCAAAAACAAGAAACATATTATAATTTATAATACCCACCCTGAGGCTAAGAACGTGGGTCACTTAAAGAAAAGATACATGGAAAGAAAAACATTGGACTGATCTCTCTCTCGCATTGGACTAATGAAACCTTCAGTCCTCTCCTTTCCTCCATATTTGACGGACCCTGAGTATTAATAATTTTGGGCATCAAAACCGTGAGTTTCTCTCTCTCTCTCTCTGTCTCTATATATATATATATATATATATCACATTAAAATGGAGGAAGTTTTTGCCCTAATTTTTTCCCTAATTTTCCTCCTAATTTCTTGCCCTATATAATTTGCTCTTTAAATTAGAAAATTACTTAATTTATGTGCTTTAGTGGAAGTCTATAATTTTTGTTACGCTCTAATTTTGAAAGTATATTATTTGCAGAGATCAGTGATTGTGAATTTGTGTGGATTTGTGATTACATAGAGTAGTCATGCCTCCTAGGAAGTATATTTCTGGATGTGAAAAAAGGAACAAGAAGAAAAAATTAGAAAATTTTATTCAATCTCAATCGGGAGCGCTTGATAAATTTTTTGATAGCAAGAAACAAATAGAAAGTTCATGTTTGGTTGATGAAGATTTGGTAATTGAAGAACTTAATCAATATAATGAGAATGATAATGCAGATTTGGGTGTTGAAGAGCCTATTGAATGTTTGAATGAGAATGAAAATGAAGATTTGGCTACAAACAAATAAAAAAGTTGTTGTAACTTATCGTTTTATCCATCATCTTTTTTTTTTCAATGTAAAAAAGGCCCCATTTCCGAAGGTCGCCTTGGGCCCCCTAAATCTCAGGGCCGGCCCTGGGTTTGAATGTCTGCTAATTCAAATGTCTGCTAATTCACACTCAACAACATCCACATCAGTAAATGTCTGCTAATTCAATAATGTTAAAGAAATATAACATTTCTTTTTGTCAGGTTTGAATAGAAAATAAATGAAGGACAGAAGAAAGAGAAAAACAATGAAAAATCAAGATACAAAACTCCATTGAGCAACTAAACAAAATACAACTAGTACTACAAAAAAATTGTCTTCCAAATGTCCGAAAAAGCCTCAACAATGACCCCGTGATGATGACGCTAATTGAGCGATAAGAAACACTCTAACAACTGCTCGAAGTCTCTCGCCTCAAGCAGCTGCTTCACTAATATCATCTCCATCATGGATGCCTTGAAATCCTCATATGGGTCCACCGATTCCATCACCACCGCGAAGCTGTCCTTCACTTTCCCCTTCACCGGAAATGACGGTAGCAGCTTCTTCATCCTCTTCTTGCGATTTAGTGGAAGTGTCACGATCTCTTCTTCTTCATCATCTCTCTCATAGCCACACAAACCACTGTCGGTTGAGGAAGTGGAGATAGGGTGTCGTGTCGGCATCGGAGAAGGAGGAGGAGGAAGAGGAGGGAAGAGCTCATTGTCGGAATCGTCGGAGATGGAGGAGTTGTAGTTGCGACGTGGCGTCTCATCCCACTTGCATGCCGGTGATTTGGGGAGGTCGTCTTCGTGTGTGCGGAACCCACAGCCGAAGATGGAGGAGACGTGGTGCTTGAAGGAGAAGCGGTGGGGTTTGAAAGGGAGCGGGGTGGCTGGCTGGCAGTCAATGAAGAGAGGGCTTGGGGAGAGTTGGATATGATTTTCTAGGGTGTTGGACGGATTTTTGGAGCGGCATAATTTGAAGGATGATGTGATACGGGAGATGAAAGCCTTGAATGCCATTGAATTGTTTTGTCTCTCTTTCTCTTTGTTTGTTGTATCTGTATGATTTCAGTGTAACGATTAGCTATGCAATACAATATGTATATATAGATATAGGGGGAACGAATGTGAATCAATGAAGATAAATCAATAAAGGAAAATGAATATTATTAAAGGAAAATAATTTTATAAGGCAATGAAAATGAATATTATTATTATTATTACACGAAAATAATTTATAAGGCAACGAAAACCAATCAATAAAAGGAAAATATTATTATTAAAAGAAAATAATATTATAAGGAATATTAATATTATTATGTATTTTTATTTTGAATTTTTTGTTTTGAATCGGGATCAATCATGCATACTGGAATAGTGGAATGTAATTTGTAAAATAAATTAAAGATTTTTAATATTTTACCAATATATATTCTTTAAAAAAAAGTTTAAAAGTTGAGCCCTATTTCTGAGTTTGCTTTAGGCCTCAAAAAATTTAGGCCGACCCTACCATATGGGCCTGGATCATTCTGGTCCATGAGGCTCTGAGTATAAACACAAGAAGTCAAACTACATTTAGTTGTTTTGTAGAGAGAGTGAGGACCTAAACCAACTAACGGATGTTTGAAATATTAATCAACAATTAAGGCCTTGTTTGTCATAACCTAAAAAAGTTAAAAAGTCACTATCCTATTTGGTATAAACTAAAAAATACAAAAAGTCAAAAAGTCACTATCCCATTTAAGTCACATCATCTTATTTAAGTCACATCACCTCTCTACCACGTCACTTCAAACCCAACCCATACCCAAACTCATATTTCATAAAAAGTTAAAAAGTGCACTTGTTTAGGACATCCCAAACCACCCTCACTTCAAACCCAACTCATACCCAACCCATATTTCATAAAAAGTCAAAAAGTATACTTATTTAGATCATCCCAAACCACCCATAAATATCGTATTGAGACACATTTAAGAGAATGTTATGAAATTCCTTAGAAAATTGACACAACACAACAATCATTCAATGGAAATGAGGTAATGGACTCAACCAAAACACCATATCGAAAACATTGCAAGAAGTTTAATCCACTTTAACAAAGAACCAGAAGAATAGATTAAATTGCACAAATCGGGAATTTAATCATTAGGGTTTTGAATCATTTGCATCAAATAAATTCTAAAAAAAACAAATTGAAAAACCTAATTAAAAAAAAACTCCTTGAAAATTCATTGGAATAGTGCCTGTTCTAATAAAAAGCAAAAGTAGATGCTCTAATAAACCTAGTTTGTAAACCCTTTAATATGTCTTCAGACAAACAGTTGGAATCGAATTCTATTTGAATCACAGTTTCAGCTTCTTTTTAGGCCGTTTCACTACAGCATCTGCAGTGTCCTTTGATGACTGCAACAGAAAAACATTAAAGACTAAGCAAAGGTTACAATTTTGATTTGACTAGGATGAAAAGGTCAATGGCAACAAACCTTTTGTTTTTTGTTTTTTCCCTTATCCTTCTTTTTCTTCTTTGTATTCTTGTGTTTCTTTGACTCAATTTTCTCACCTCCATCTTCCAAAGAATCCTGTCATATTTGCAACCAATTAGGAAGAAAAATAGGTCATAGAAACACACCAGTGTATTGAAACCTTTTCAAAAATGATTATAGGAACACCAAAATAAACCACCTCAAAGTCGCCAAAAGAGTCTACTTGTCGAACTATTCTTCCTGAATGTGAAGCCCCACTTGTTATAGAAAGAACATTGGATTTTATTGCTTAATGCAATATGAGAAATACTATAGGGATATATGCGACATCCCAGATATCATCAATGCGAGTAGATCATTCACATACAAGCAGGAAAGGCAGCCATCATCATAACGTAATAGATGAAGTATAAAACAAGTGAAATTATGAGAATACATCCGAGTAATATATACTGTATCAAGGATTTTGTCCAGAATTGATCAAATTGAATACTCATTATTTCCACACACAATGTACAGAAAGAACCAGTTGCCATACTACCAAACCTCCATACAAACACCAAATGATAAGAAGGGAAGAGATCAAGCACCCCACTAACAAATACAACCACATCCCAGTAGATTGATAGTTTAGGAGTGAACACTGGTCCGGTAAGCCCACCTAGAACCAATTAGGTATAGTACCAATTGTAAATACAAATGAATGTAAGTATAATACTACCTTGTCAAATAGGGATAAAAACACTAAACTTTTATAAGTTATTATCAGGATAAAACAAACCAAAATTTGCACAAAAAAATCCGTTAATGCTTACTAAGTTACTATAGTTAGCTGTTAGAATTGCAACTCCAACAAGAAATTAGGTTACAAATATCTTCTTTTAACTATTCTGTATATATTCATTTGAATTCTGAAAATACCAACTACTTGAATATGAATAAGAATAAAAAAGAAACAAAAGTCAAATTCAATGAGATTTAATAAATCACTATTATACCAAGTCTGAACCATATAATCCAATAGGAAAGACTATTTGAAGAAAAATTAGGTCATGAGTTGGGTCATGTATATAAGGCTTATAAGTCATGAATTTGACCTGCATTGCACATAAGGAAAAAAATGGGTGTCCACAAACTTGACTAGGTTTAATCAGGTCCATAGCATAGTTCGAGAATAAAGGAATTTAACACCATTGGGAAAAAAACTACAAGATGTAATCGGTAATTACTTGCATTTACAGTATCCTTTGCATTTTTGACAGCCAGTTCAACAAGTTCGGGCTTTATAGAAGCCAATCCATTAGGCTCCTGAAGTTTTCTTTCAAGGAACTTCGCCTAAGCCGCAACCTTGTTTGTTGTCAATGGCCCACCGAGGTGAGGTAACCTACAGAAAAAACACCACATTGTGAACAAAAGGCTTAAATTTCAGGTGATTTTTTTTTATAAAATAATACAAGTTATAGATTAATGGAGAATTCAATAGGGATTTCTTCTTACTTAGGTTATTGAGTTGGGTACTTGGAAATTTGAGGAGGGGATGAAAAAATAAGAATTAGGTTGTGCCATATTAATCAAATAAATATTATGCGAAAACATACAATAACCGATATGATACTCGAACAATATGCTTGATTTATTCCATCTAATTGGGGGCAAAGTTTGAATTTTCAGTTCAACACTGTTTCTCGTGAAATTCACCTAAGATACAATAACAGTCTCATAATTCAAGGTAGAGAGTTCTAAGTTTTGGCAAGAATTAGTGAAAGGGATCAAAGAATGAATTCAGATTAGTCTGAGAGGTTACAATGAGAGAGTAGTTGAGAAGGGTGCTTGGAAATTTGAGGGGGTGAAAAAAATAAAAATTGGGTTGTGCCATATTAATAAAATACAATGTGAAAACATATAATAACCCACATGATATTTTTTTAGAGGGAGTTTTTTTAGTATGTCTGTATGTTCTTTAAATTTTCATTTATTTATGTTGCAAGATAATCTTGTCATATGTCTATTACTTTCATATACTCTTGTGGCAATATTAGTTGTTTTGCAGACTGTGGCACTAATAGCAGTTTTTCAGATGATAGCACTAATAGCATCTCGATTGGCTGTTATGGGTTGGGGTGATTAGGATTTTATTTGTTAGGTGTGTTTTGTCATGGAATTGTCAAAGAGAGAGATTGTTAGGTTTTTGTAATTGACAATTCCGTTTGACAAAACTCCTTTCAATTATAATTTTATTCGCTCTTATATTTCAATGAGGATGTGAGTGTTTAGATGCGAATCCAATCCGAATTGTGCCTATGCAGAGTAGCTTGTCATCTTGATCCTTTCATTTTTGCCACTTCGCTGAAGCAAAAAGCAAAAATACAGATGAAGTTGTTTAATCACTTAAGCAGTCATTTGTGCACTCCAGCAGAGAAAAGAATCCCCCAGTACTTTTAAAGAGTGCCTGAATTTCTGGGAAGAAAGTTTGACTGCTCGAGTGGTGAATGTTGTGCTCGAACGGTCAGCCTATATGTTTTGCACCGCCTTTACTCACACCACTTGAGTAGTGAAGTGTGCGCTCGAGCGATCTTTGTGATCTAATTTTCTATAAAGTGCGCAATTTGTTATTTTCAGGGTTTGAGCCGTCTAAATGTTCAAAGATGAAGAAAAAACAAAGTGCTTTAAGAGTGCTTTCTTGATGATTTAAGACTGATCAATGGATCTGTAGGGTTTGTGTGTTTTCTTTAATTCACAAAAGAGAGAGTTGTTCTTCGATAGATTTCGGAGAATTTGGACCTAAAATTTTGGTAGATTTCGGAGTGGCTCATCGTCGTGAATTCGACATCCGTGTTATAGATTAAACGTTGAGCTATAGCGATCCCAATTTCCCTTCAATGTTTATTGTATTCCGGACTTGGTTCCGTGGATGTGTGTTGTGTCTTTATCGCATCTCCATCCTTTAAATTCTTCGTACTTGAGTTTGGGATGTGTTGGGCAGGTTTGAAACAGGTTGGTTGTGTTTAGAAACCAAGAGTTGATGCCCAGATTTTGGCCTTCACGCTCGAGCGAGCCCTTTTGTATTTGCTCCTCCGCTCGAGCGAGCATTTTGACACTCGAGCATGATTATTCAACCCTCATTATTTTTTCTTACAGGTCATTGGACGCTCGAGCGGGGCGTTCCACGCTCGAGCGGACTGTGATGTATATCAGTCCGAGAGAAGCCATTTTTGAATCACTTTTTGACCTTCTCTCTCTCTCTAGCGTTTCAAAACCCTCATTTGAGAGCTTCTCTCTCCAGAATACATCTTCTCTGTATGAAATCATCTAGCTCTAGTGATTTTCCACCCTAGTCCCTTTGTAAAAGGTGTGGAGCTTGGCGTGGCCTTCGTTTTGATTCGAAAAAGTTGGTGATCATCTTGAGTTTTGTCCTTCTTCTCCTTTGAGCTCCGAAATTTGAGGTAGGGGTGACTACTCATATTTATGGTCTTTGACATAAACATGTAATCACTTTGATTTAATGTTGAAGTTGGGAAATTATGGGTGTTAGGG